CACGCCTCGTGAACAGGTTCACGATCATATTGTCTAAAGGAGATGATCTCCTCTCTGATATCAGCGTGGCGAGTAGGTGGGAAGAATTTTGTTAAGAACTTCTCCACTAACGACCCCCATGTGGTGATGGATCCCGGTGGAAATGCATTGAGCCATGCTCTAGCTTGGTCCTTCAAAGAAAATGGAAAAAGTGTTAGTCTAAGAGCATCATCTGTTATACCAGGTAATCGAAATGCATTTGCAATTTGAATGAATGATTTCAGATGATCATGTGGATCCTCATGTTCCTACCCTCCAAAATGTCCAATTGTCTGCAACATTTGGAACATCATTGGTTTAAGCTCAAAGTTTGCGTRGGCTGGAATAGGGTTGACTATCCCTGAATCAAAGTTCTGAAAAGCCGTGGCGGCATATTCTCGCATTACCACGTCTCTGTTGTCCGCGATCTGGATATGGTTGAATTCATTATTTCTTGCGTGATCCCTCATATTATCGTTAACAGCAGGTGGATCAACCGGATCACGAGGTGGAATATCTCCAAGCGTAATCACATGCATCCACCAGAAGCCCGCGCTATACCTGATCCGCCTGCTGTACCTGCCTCGCCGGCTGTACCTGACCCACCTGCAGATCTGGAAAGGGGTCTCAAGAAAGAAAGGTGAAGGACAAAGGAAAGAATATCATAGAGGATCCGGTAGAAGAGGCCGATGCATTGGACGATGATGCATTACAAAGTCCTGCATTAGACGATGCTGGACCCAGTGGAAATGACAGCCAAGCGCTACAGAAGTGGTCGAAACGGAAAAACTTCAAAAATAAGTTCAGTAGACGGTTGAAGAGGCTCGATGATCGAGTTGGTACTATCGAGGCCATACTGACTGGCTTTGGAGTCACCCTGAATGGTATCCAAAGATACCTGAAGAAACTGTCGAAGGTATGCATTTTATATATATAACATTAGGTATGCTCAATTATTAATTATGATTAGTTTGGTCCAAGATAATGTTTATTAGTCTGTACTTTTCGTGCATGGTAAATTCCCTGATCCAACCAAATATTTTGGACGTGGGGGTGGGCCCGATGATGATGATCCATCGGATCAAAGGCCTGATGAGGCCACAAAGCCAGATAGAGGTCCGAAGAGTATGGACGAGAATCGGGGTCGGAAGAGACCCGTAAGACCGACGAGGATTGGACTATGGAGCATGGTTCGAAGAATGTAGACGAGAATCCGAAGAATATAGATGAGGATCCGATGATTATGGACAAGGATCCGATGATTATGGATGAAGACCAAGGTACGATAACGAATGGGGACAATGCATCAGATGCTTATCCCGATCGTCATGTCGGTTGTATTCAGGTAAGTCATATTTCTATAACGTTAGTATACGTTTGTGCTTTGATATTGTAATATGATTAATATTGGTTGTATATTAGGATGTCACTGTTGGTATGCAAGAGCCAGATGTTGCATCAGATACGCGACCCGTCAGCCGACGCGTTAGGCATCCCTACAAGGATTGGGCATCGGACGCAGTCATTAAAGTAAACTTAATGTCATACATATACATATTGACGGCTGTCATTACGTGAACTCATGTGTGTATTGTGTTTTAGGTTAAACCTTACCTTGACCAGGACGAATATAACCTCATCAGACCTCAACTGGGTGTGGGCTACGCAAGAGGCATTACTCATGGAAGTTGAAGGATATATACACACCAAGCGGTCAGCGTTGGATCACCGTGGATAGCTACGACCCAATATGTCCCATTCCGTGGCAGTTGGACGATAAGTTCCAGAGATGGATGGATTACCCGAAGACGGACGGGAGATTGCGGTCCACTACAATTGGTTTGCAAAAGAAGGAATGGTATCGCGATCTATTGGACCCTAGTGTTGAATTGAAGGACGAAGTAAGTACATGTTACTATATTCGTAGTACTATATTCGTCAATAGTGTGATTACATCAATGTGGATTGGTTAAATGTAACAGGTACTTGATGGTCCCGTCTTGTTTACAGTGAAAAAGTTGGAGAAGTGTCTCCATCTATGTCGCAAAAAGTTTGCGATAAGGGACGTACTTCTTTAGGTAATTACTTTTTACTTATTTCGGTTCGAACTAATAAATGTTGTTTTGATCAATTGTTTAACTAATGAAATACTTTTCAACAGCTATACAAACTCTGCTGAATCGAATAGACGGTCCATATGCGGCCATGAAGCCGGGTGTATTGTCCACTAGGATCAATTACCCATGGAGTGCAGAGAATACCATCTTTCGATATGTCTACGGTAGGCAGTCAGACCACAACGTGCCCTGGAGTGATGCAGACATTGTGTACACCCCATGAACGTAGGCGGGAACCACTAGGTGATGCTCGGCATCGATCTTGTAGAGGGCGATATAACTGTATGGGATTCACTCCAAATGGTCACTCCACTTGATGAACTTGAGAAGGAGCTGAAGCCCATGTGTATGATCCTACCTACGGTGTTACATCATGGCGGGATATTTTCAGTTCGACCCGACTTGCCAATGGTGCCGTGGAGGGTGCATCGGGTTCGCTTACCACAGCAGAGTAGCGCAACTGATTGCGGGATTTTCTGTGTCCGGTATTTCGAGTATGATGCCACCGGGTCAAATATGGACATTTTGACCCAAGATAATATTGTATATTTTAGGCATCAGTACGATGTACAGATGTGGGCGCGTCGTCCCATTTTTTGAATAATGTATGCATTTTCGATATTGTTTCTATGTCATGGTTCATTATTCTAGCATCATACATGAAACACATTAAAATACAATCTCCCCATTAATAATAATAATAATAATAATAAATAACACATAGGGTTACCAATGCATGCATGCATAGTTGGTTGCTTGAGGTACAAGTTACCATAAAAATTTCTGAAAAAACAACAAGTTATCAATACATCATACATTCACACTGTGTTAAGGGGTTCATTACATGTTTTGCGATTGTGTCCCAACATACCACACCGACCGCACTTACTTGTTTGGCCCACCTTGCCCGTGGAGGAATCCTAACTGACTGCCTCTTGCCAACTCTAGGAACCAAATCTGGTGCTTCCGCAGGTATGTCGACAAAATCTGGCGAGCTTTTCCACGTTGAGACGTGACTGATTGGAAATATTGGTTCTGCATAAGCCATTACCCAAGAGTTCGTTATGTATGCCTCGTCACACAGTGTATGGATTTATGTTTCGCATCATCGCCCCAGAAATAGCATGAGAGCATGAAATTTTGAAATAATCAAACTCCCGACAACTACATTTCCTAGAGTTGAAATGAAGAATCCCGTCAAGGTTGCCATCGCGTACCTAGACTTGAAACTAGTCAATTTTCACTACAACGTGTCTCCTGGCATTGTCCGAGTATTCAACAAACTTATTTTCTGCATAGTCGAACAATGTGGTTGATCGGAAAGAGGCAAGCGTTCGTCAATCGTAGAACCAAGTCTGTAACAGACCTCTGATATGGTCCAATAAAGCAGTTACTGGCAAACTACACGCATGTCTAAAGAGGGCATTCACGGACTCTGCATTATTACTGGTCATCTGTGTGTACCTCAATTCTGTTTGGAAACAACGAGTCCAACGCTCCTTCCCAATGTCATCTAGATACTCTCTCATACCAGGGTACGCACCAAGTTGAGCCCAGATTGAGTTGAAATAAGACTCTTGATATGCTTTCGCAGCTTTTAGAAATAGTTCCTCGAGTGCCTTCGCATCGACTTTAAATTTTGCTAACAAGTTCGTCTTAATATGTTGTATACAAAAGCAATGAAATGCAGTGGAAAATACCTTGTCAATTGCCTTACAAATGGTTTGATGTCTATCGGAAACGAAAACCAAATTGTTCACTACGTCGAGAGCACCTTTTAATTGAGTCATAAACCATACCTATGATGCTACGGTCTCACTGTCGACAATAACAAATGCAACCGGGTAAATCTGGTTATTCGCATCTGCACCAGAAGCTGTTAACAATACCCATCTGAACTTCCCTTTTAGGTGGGCCCCGTCGACAACCAACACTGGTCGAATACAAGCCAGAAACCCTTTAATCGATTGACCCAAAGCCATAAAGACATTTGAAATATTTTCCATCTTTGAGTTCCAATTCGAAAATAGTACATGGGTTCATGATTTTTAATACTTCACCATAAGCTGGTAGTAGACCGTATGACGTTGTTGGATCCCCTCTAATAAGTCGAAGTGCTTCTTCAGTGGACTGCCAAGCTTTGTCATAACTTAAATTCACACCATACTCTTTCCTCATGTCTTGTATTATGTCCTTCGGTCTATACGTGCAGGAGACGTCTGTAAACTTCGCTTGGACAAGATGTCTGACCACCCAATTCTTGGCTTGCCTATGATCCTGTTTCAAAACTTCACCATTGCATGTATGGATGCTATAGTATTTTTTTATCTTAAACAGATTGCAGTCCATCAGCTTTATAGCTCGAAGTCTCCAGGTGCAACTAGAATCAACGCAGCGTAGTATATATAATTCTGGTGTCGACTTTTTTACTTTAAACTGAAAATTCAGCGGCATTGCAACTAAATGCTTTCTCAAACTCAACTCCTTCTTCGTATCAAATACTTTGCCCTCCTTAACATCATTTGTTCCAGAAGACTGTACTATGAGTTGCAACTTCTCATCATTAGGCTGTCCAATGAGACCATCACACCCCATTTGTAGGACCACTACTTCATCCCTACGAATCTCAACTTGTACCTGTTCCACATCGGGCTCAAACTTTTCATCACGTGCATCGTCATAGTCATCATTCATAAATTCTGCTTCATAGTCTCCTTCTTCTGACTTTCCCAACGAGTCATATGATTCATCACTTTCATCTTGATTATCATTCCATAATCCCGGCATATTCCAAACACATACCCTGTCATCGCCTAGGTTACATGGAACAACATCTGATTCCAATGGTGTTAAACCCGCTATATCATGACCTAAATGCCCGTAATAGAGGTGTGGTTGTTGGGAAGAAGAGGGGTTCGATGATGAGGAAGGAAATGAAGGTATCGGATCTGTGGGTCTCTGGAATGAGGGAATGCAAGCTATGGGCATACAACTCGAGGACACGTTTTGGCCTACATGATATGGGAAAGAAGACATGTACGTTCATTCCCATGTACTTGCTTTGGCGTAGTAGATATATATATATATATAATATATATATATATATTTTTATATATATAGGCAATTCAGATACATCCTCACCAGTTAAAAAAAATTCAGGTCATCGTCATTAGTTATCTCCATTACACAAACTTTAGTTTTAAAATGATATACACATCTAATTATAATATCGAACTGAAGGGGGTTTATATTACTCAATCTATACACGTGACCTAGAAATTCTCTGTACGTGGTTGTACTATCCACTGTCAATCCTCTCATGCGACCACCAACGTAATCTTTTTCACTATCGTTCCATTCTCCACCAAATGTTATGAAAACACGAGCATCCTGCAAATATATAAAATCAAGTGAGATAAGAATATCGTAAAAAAAAGTGGTAAAAAATAACAAAATACATGTCATCCTGAACCGTCTCGGACCAGTCTTGGTCTGAGACATATCCCGGACCACAGTGCTTCAAGATTGATCCGGCATGTATCTCGGTTCATTCCCGAACCATCTTTCGATCCGAGATTGAACCTGGATTTGTTCGGGATTGAACATTTAATCTCGGATCTCGAAGCTTCAATCTCGGAACAATACTTGGTCCGGATACCAACTGAATTTTTTTTCTTTTTTCAAGAAGCGAAGTGAAAATGTATGAATGGAAAATATTTCAAATCATTTCACAAATTTTAATGTTAACGTACCTCTCTTCAAATGTGAAAATGTGGGACAACGATTTTGGATAGTGTGGGGATAATGATCAAACATGTGGCAATGTTTCTTTAGAGGATTTAAAAAAAAGTGATATGTGAAGAGTTTGGATGGTGTGAAAATGTTGGATTGTTTCAAATTCAAAACATAAGTAAAATATGAGGTTAAAAGTTTGGTGAAATGGTTGGGTGGAAGTTAATGAGGAAGTTAATGTATCATAAATAAGGGTATATTCGTCTTTTCACTAAAGGTGGGTTCAAAATTAAGTAGAGGTGGAGTCAATAATTAGGTTTTTTAAAAAGGGTTTCATTTATCCAATTTGAACAATTGGTGGGGTCAAAAACCCGAATTTTCCAAAAAAGGGGGGGAAGCAGTCATTTGGCGAGACCAGTGCGAGCATTCCTCCTTTCCAGATGCCTAACTCGACGGAAGTGGGCCTGGTAGGCCTTCGCAGTCTCCTCCATCCCTAGAAGACCTCCCGCACCATTTCTACAGCAAAGTGGAGGTGGTTCTCCGCGTCCACAGAGTCATCCCTCGCAAGCAACTTTCTCCATAGCGTCTTCTCCCACTTGCTCGTCGGAGTCATTCTCTTCCTTCAAGGTGCCCCTACAATTGGAAAGCAAGTATTCTTTATGACGCCCGACTAGAGATTAGGGGTACATGAATGAACCAATACCACATCCGAATGAGAGAGATCCTAAGACTATGGAAGAATAGTTAAGAAAAGACTTAAAAGAACTAATAGTTACTAAACAAAGTGCACCTTTCTTTTCGGTAACTCAATCGTAAGAATTCCAAAGTTAAGCGTGTTTGACTTAGAGCAATCTTCGGCTATGTGACCTTCTAGTTGCTTTACTAAAAAGCATGTGAGTGATGACAAAGCATGTGGAAAGGACTCGTGTTGGTCTGTAGGGATAGTCTACGCTCTTTTAAGTAGTTCGGAACTAGACGGTGGCGCAGCCAAGTCGTAGGGGATGCAGGGGAATGTTGAGGCGATTAGGGCCAAATCCGTATCAGAGCGGAACCTCTTCCAGTACGATGTGGTTCGGGGACGAACCAAGAGGGATTCTGAGACCATGGAAGAATGGTTAAGAAAAAACTTAAAAGAATTGATAGTTATTACCTATACTAACAAGGTGCACCTTCCTTTTTGGTAACTCAATCGTAAGAATTCCAAAGTTAAGCATGCTTGACTTTGGAGCAATCTGCGGCTGGGTGACCTCCTAGTCACTTTACTATGAAGCATGTGAGTGAGGACAAAACATGCTGAAAGGACTCGTGTTGGCTTGTAGAGATAGTTTACGCTCTTCTAAGTAGCATCCTCAAAGAGAGTGTCCACTCGGATGAGATCTTTGTTGGAAAGGTCAGACATCTTCTCAAACAGTTCACCGGGAAAGCAAAGTGAGGATGATGACGGAACAAATGCGAAGCAAGTCCCCAATTTAAAGGAAAGGAGGACCAACCCTAGCCGTTGGATCAACCATCCAAGCGTCGTTTCGAGAAGGCCTCGAGATGCACACGACATAATGACAAAATAGATACCAAAGTGGTGGTTAGGGGCAACGCAACCCGAGAATGAATCCCAACGCCTCTGGAAAAGGCAATTAGTACTCCGACACGTACAAAATCATTACTGGGTATCGGACGCAATAGTTGCCAACTTTAAATCGAAAGACAGAGGGGGACTTGAATTTTGAGATATTAGTAAGTTTAACTAAGATATGTTGGCAAAACATACTTGACGAATCTGGAAAAGATCCGACTCTCTATTAACTCGACCCTTGAAGCAAAATATTTCCCAAATGGCTCATTCCTAAATGCAAAGCTAGGAAAATGACCATCATATGTTTAGTGAAGCATCCTATGGTAAAAAGAGCAAACAGTGAAAGAGGGTTGATGAAGAGTGGGAAATTGCAAATCAACGCAGATCTATAAAAACTAGTGATTATCTAGGGAAAAGACTTTTAAAATCCTATCTCTACCAATCATCGCCATTGGAAAGATGACCTTGTGAGAGAGATTTTTTCTGAAGAAGACGCTGGTTTGATATTGGCAATACCGTTGGGTGGAAATAATCAAGAAGATACGTTCATGGCACTATGATAGAAGAGGAATATATTCAATTAAAAGCAAATATAAGGTGGCCATGTAATATGAGAATGTAGCTACGATGTCTACAAGAGAATATGACACTATATGCTGGAAACAATTATCACAACTTGACATTCTAGAAAAGATAAAAATTTTCGATTGAAGAGCATGTTTAAGAACTCCTTACGAAGCTCAACCTTTACAAAAAGATGGTGGCTAACTGTAAGGATCCCACATTGAAAAGAAAAATGACCTAACAATGATTTATACTAGATATGGGCTACTCCACTCATTGCTAATTGATTTTGATATGGAACTCCATGAATTTTAATATGATATCAGAGCCCAATAAGCTCATACGAGCATCCGGTCCAAAAATGAGAGAGGGTATGTGTTAGGATCCCACATTGAAAAGAAAAATGACCTACTAACGATTGAACATTCTCAAGATGTGAAAGGGAAGTAAAAATGGAAACTTATGCTCTATGGAGATGTATGGAAAGGTTAAAGGAGGTGAAGTATAGTTGAAGGTGTAGAAAAGTGGGTGCCTCCAGATTTACCAAATTACAAGCTAAACTCAAATGCGATACTACAAGATGGAATGACAGATTTTAGGATAATCATTCATGACACTGATGGAGATGTTTTGTTGGCGACTGAAAGAACTATGCATCTTAGAGCGTTTGTTGAGCATGCATAAGCAATAATTCTAAACAAGGGTATATCTTTAGCAACTGAGGCTGGAATCCGACCTCTTTGTTCTAGAATTGATTCTAAGTGGTGTGGAAACTTATCAATAATGAAAAAATATTTGATAATGAAACTCAATTGATAATAGACGGTATAATTAAGAAGAAAATGTAGAAATAAGGCGATAGAAAGAATCACTCTTTACAATATGCAAGAGGAATGAAGTTGCAGATACTTCGGCTGTCATGAGACATAACACTCAAGGATATGGATCAAAGAGTACCCGATGTGGCTAGAAAAGAGTTATTCATAGTGGCCTTCCCAGTTCGACTTGATTTTCCATTTTTCATAAACTTCTTTGTACCAAAAAAGAGAAATTTTTTGCATTCATGTACATAATTAATTATATATTTAAATATATGTATCTTTTATTATATTTAATTATATAATTTAAAGTTTTTGAATCTCGCCTTGCAATTTCTTCATTCCCTATAGATTACTTAAAAAATATATTTCGATATGATGGACATATCTTTATTAAAAAGAAACACTTACTGTTTATATAAGATCCAAATTAGATTTTTGAGATATTTGGTATGGTTCTATTTTAAGTTTTATGTTTTAAAAATTATGGCTGTTTCCTCATAAGTTATTTGTTATATTTTTCATTTTTTAAATATATTTAAATTCTTAGTCAAATTTTAATTTTTTTAGTTTAAAAAAAATTTGCAAATTTTTAAAATATAAAAAAAGTGTAGATAATTGGGTCAACAAATTTTATTATTAAAAATTATTTTTAAACTAATAGTTTATGCCATATATTCGTGAGATCATAAATATCATATATCCAGCCTCCAAAGAGTGATTATTCTATTAATTTATTTTACATTTCACTTGAGTTTGAATCGGATTAAATTATGCTATTTTTTAAGAGGTAAACTTTATAGTAAAAGAAATGTTTATTTATTTTATGCAATTCATGTAAATGCTTTTATTGTTGTTATCATTAGATTCATTTTAGTTTTTGTATTCTCAAGTTTTGTTCATTCTAATTATTATATTTTCAAAACGTTGATCTTTTTCTATTATGTACTTCTAAAAAATAACCACTTTTATTTCTGTTTGCAAAATTTTAACCTAATGATCATTCAATACAACTTTATGGTTACGTTTCAAAAAATTTAGTGAGTAAAACGTAATGTTAAAATTATGATTGAAAAAATGAAAAAAATAAAAGAGTCATAAGGACCAAAATATACATTTCGAAAAAATAAATAATTAAGGGTCCGTTGATGACCATTTCGTTTTTTGTTTTTGGTTTTTGGTTTTTCAAAAACAGGTTGTTTGATAACCAATTCAATTTTCTGTTATTTGTTTTTCCAAAACCATTTTGAAATTCTATGTAAATTTCAAAAACAAAAGAAAATAGTTTTAAAAAACAGGTATTGGTTTTTCAAAATATGATCTTTTTCTTTTAATCTCAATTTTTTTTTTCTTTCTCATATTTATCTCTAAAAATTTATTTTTCACTCTAAATTTTTTTTAGGGGATTTGTAATGGGTAGCATATAAGTTTTCTTTTTGATATTTTCAGATATAGCATTTTTTTTTAAATCCTGATTTTAAAATTTTCAGTATTTCCAAATTACCCTTTTCAGTTATCGCTTCGTTATTATATATCAAACATATATCACATATATATTAGGAGTATATCTATCAAACATATATCACATATATATTAGGAGTATATCTGACAACGTTAGTATATCAAAAGTAAATCAATAGTATATCAAAAGTCAATCAGTTCTATATCAGTTGTATAATAGTAAATCACTATTTTGCCTGCTTTAACCCTTTGTCTTGTATTTTTTGATGAATTAGAAATTAGTAGGCATTGGCATGCATGGAAAATGAGAAAAAAAATTTGATACTTACTGAAAATGAGAAAGAAAACTTGAAAGGAACTGAATGTAAACGTCAATGGTGATTTTCGAAATTACTGTGAATGAGAAATCAATTAGAAATTAGAGGTAAATAGAAACTTAGGGTTTTTCTGTATATCAATAATATATCAATGATATATCAAGTATACATTGTACATATATCAATAGTACAATTAATTTTATTTAAAGTTTTAAAAATCAAAATGAAAGCAGCAACAATGTCATTCTTAAAAGGTTTAAATATCATTCTTGGGTATCAACATCAACATCAAATCAGCAGCAAATTCCTTCAACCAAAACTTAAATGTTTAAACATCAAAACGAACTAGTAGCATAAATCAAAAGTAGACTAACAATGTCATTCTTAAAATTCTATAAAAGAGAAGGATAAATTCCAAAAGCATAAGTTCCAACAGTCTAGAAAAGTATAAGTTTCACTCTTGTATAATCTTTAGGTAAAAGCTTGAGACATCAATCTTTGTTCTTGGTGATTGTCGTGTTTTCGGAGATACTATCTTTGAAGCCTTCCATTTTTCCATAGACAACACTTTTGGCGTTGGTTTATGTTGTCTTTTGGGACGAACGACATCAACATTTTCGACGATGTTTTTTTATTTCATTTTTCGTGTTTGTACCATTGCTTTTATCTGAAAAAAAAATTATTTCATATATTAGTATATCATAAAACATATATTAGAGGTAATATGTTCGAAATAATTGGTAGATATCATAGTTATATAAGAAGTAAATCAATTTCATATCATATGTATATCAAACATATATCACATATATATCAAGAGTATATATGTTAATCATAGTTATATCAGAAGTAAATCAATTTCATATCATATGTATATCAAACA